AATGTCCAGTCAGTTTCAGAAAAGTCTCTAAATATTAACATCTACAATAACCTGAGGACCAAACAGCACATAAGAAGATAGAGAAACGACGACGTTTCGGTCCGTCCTGGACCATTATCAAGTCGCCCATTAACAGAAAGAGGAATATTGTTGTTGTTGTTGTTTTAGATTTAGCTACTCAGAACGATATGTTCATGTAGCACGGGGTATGGTGAGCCCGTAATTGAGTTCGGTTATTCGCGATAACCTTGTTACACCGATATTTGGGTCAATGTATTAAATGGAGGTGGGGTTTCCTCGTTTTTCTCTGTTTCTTTTTCGCTTCTGTTTTAGTTTTGTTTTAATTAATAACATTATCTTGGTGGCGGATGTAGGCGGAGAATGTTCACTAGTGAGCCTCATTCTTTAACGGTTTCTCTAATCATTGTAGTCGCTGTGAAATGTGCATCTAATGCAGCTGCTGTCGTTGGATTAATGTTGAGTTTGATGCGCAGAGCTACAGTAGCTTCACATTCCAATAAGTAGTGCAATAGTGGCGCCTCTGCTTCTGTTCCACAGATGTGACACTCCTTAACTATTGGGTTTATTACCTCCCAGCAGCACTTGTAACCAAGTCTGAGTCTGTGTATGGCTACTGTAATGTCTCTGGATATCTTTTTGTCAGGCTTGAAAGAGTAGTACTCAGTGGCTTGTTCGTACCATATCGCAGTGGATCTTCCTTCCGCTACTTTGGCTTTGTGGCGACTTTTGATAGTTGGGAGTGTTTTCTTCTTGATTTGCTCCTTAATCTGTGAAAAACTTGGAGGCATTTGAACCTGTACAACAGGTAGAGCAGTGGCAGTTTTTGCTAGTGAGTCTGCCTTTTCATTACCATCTATGCCAGTGTGACTTCGTATCCAATTTAGGGTGATTGACAGCCCTTGATTACGGGCTTCTTTTCCTATATGTTGGATTTCTGTGAGGAGTTGTATATTATCTGTGTTGATTTGATAACAATGCCTGGAACAAAGATTTAGAGTCGTTATGAATGATAACATCATGTAATTTATTCACAATTGTATAGTTTATTGCTTCCTTCAGGGCATATAATTGTGTTTGCAATGTTGAGCACCCACTATTCATGCACCAGTAAGCTTCATGGTTTTTAGTGGAAACTTCTACCCCAGCAGAACCTCTTTCCTGATCAAATGATCCGTCTGTAAAGATCTGAGTCCTTGTAGGTCTTGAGATGGTTTCCAATTGTAGTTCTATGACTGCTTTGAGCCTCTGCGATACATATGCTGTTTTTTTACTGGTAATTCTTCAATAATAATCTTTAGACACGATTCTTCCCATGGAGGAGTCTGCCGAAAGTGTTGATATGGTCTATATTCACCTTTGTTTTTAATGATCTATTTCAAGTCCATTTTCTCCAAAATCTTCACTTGATATTTTCCTTGATAGGGATGTAAGAGCAGGAGCAGCATAGTCAAATCAACTGTCCATGCACTTGTTCGATATTGAAGGGTTCTGTGAAGTGATCTTTGTATGCTATCTTTGATTGACCGTCTGGCTGTTGTTCCAACAAGTTTTGCTGTTATGGTGGCTATCCTTTGTTTGATCCTGTTTTCTAAGGCTGGTAAGTTGGTATCCATTGTTAGATTCTCTCGACGCGTCCATATAGGTGCTCACAGCATTGTTCTGAGAGCATCATTTTGAGAGCCTTCCAGTTTCTCCCATTGGTTATCATTGAGGGATGTAAGAGCAGGAGCAGCATAGTCAATGAGTGACCTAACTGCTTGAATTTAGTACATTTTGAGTACTGGTAGAGATGCACCATCTCTAAGACTTGTCAGGGAGCGCAAAGCTGAGTTTCTGGCGTTGCAACGTTGCTGAAGATATTTAATTTCTTGAGTGAATTTCAACTGGCTGTCTATTATGACTCCTAGGTATTGAAAAAAGGTAACCCACTCAATTTCGTTTCCTTGTATTGCGAGTCTGATGTCTTGAGTTCTCATTTTAATAGTTATTGCTTTAGTTTTATTGCTGTTTATTTTCTCTGCTATACGTTCCGCTTCCTTGCCGATAATATCTAGGCATTTTTGTGCATGGTTCCTGGCACCTTTTCCATTGATGATGACCACAAAGTCGTCTGCATAGTTAAGCAGTTTGGCTTTTAGTAACTTGAGCTTCATGAATTGTTCCATGAGACAGTTGAAGAGAAAAGGGTTTAGTATTCCTTTCTGCTGAGTTCCATTTTCCAGCCTCTTTGAGGACGATGTTTTTCCTTGGAATTTGACTTTAGCTTCTCGGTTAAGCAGGCTTCCTTTGGCAAAGGCAAGAGCGTGTTCTTTGATTTCCTTGATTTTACACAAGGCAGCACAGTGTAGCTGGAGCATTGGCTAACTCGAAGGCTTTTTCTAGGACTAGAAAAATATGGATTCCAGGTTTGTCATTAATTTCATCCAGGAGGGAGGTAAGGCATTCTGTCGTTCCAACACCTTTTCTATAAGCAAACATATTTTGGTGTAGTGGATTGGCTTTCCATTCAATTCGATTAAGAGCCATACTTTCCGTAGTTTTGGCCAGACAGCTTGTTATGAGATGGGTCTTGGATTTCCTGGGTCTTTAGGTTTTGGAATTGGAATTATAATTGCTCTGTTACATGAGAGTGGTCGAGTTCTTGTCACCCCATACTCTGTTGATGAGATTCAAGAAGGCTTCTTCATTCTTTTCTCCTAGCTTGGCTAGCATACTGTAAGTGATTTTGTCCTCACCTGGAGCTGGATTTTTAGTTTTCTTTGTAGCACTTCTGAGTTCTTTCAGATTGAAAGGTTGGTCTAGTTCGTCAGGTAAGGCTAAAGTATCATATATTTTTTGCCATCTTGCTGCTTGAAGTTTTTGTTGGTGAGTCAGAGTGGCATGAGGAAGTTGAGTGAAACTGGCTCTTGAGGGAAAAAGATTTGCTAACCTTTCTGCTTCTTGCTCTGGATGAACATGATGTGGCAGGCAGGAGGCGATTTTCCTCTGGCCTTGTTGGTCTACCTCCATATGTCGCCCAAGGATGTATGCTGATTTAGTTTGGCGCACCACTCGAGACGTTTTTCTTCTCTGATTTTGCTTTTTCTTGGTGAACATGATCTCGGATAGCTCTAAGAAACCTAGAGTAGCTTCGGTTCTATCTCTACTGCAATTCTTTCGTGCACAATTTAGTCTGTTATGTAGCTCTTTGATCCTATTACAGTAATACCAATGGTCCTTATGTTGTTGGGTAATTGTTTTCCTCTTGGTGAGGGCGTGATTCGCTGCTCTATGTTTTGCATTAACTAAATCTTTTTCCATTTCTTTGGTGTTGTCAGGAGGAGTGTAGTTTTGATGCCAACTTTCGAGAGATTCCTGAAACTTCGTCTAATCTGCTTTGATAAAGTCCTATCCGGGCTCGGGAGCTGGAGGTCTAGGAGGTAGTGCTATATTAATAACTGTTTTTGTAGCAAAGTGGTCACTAGTCAGTACATGGTCAATTGACCAATGATACAACTCATGATTACTGGTGGAGACAAACGTGAGGTTCAGCTTCCCCCCACCAATGTGGGTTGGTTCCGTCGAGTTAAGCAGACTGATTTCAGGCACTTTATCTAAAAGATGTTCAATATGTCTTCCGTTGGCGTCGGTTCTTAGTGAATCAAGTAGTAATTCACTATGAGCGTTGAAGTCACCCGCGATGATAGTAGGTGTAGTGAGTGTTATATCAAAGATTGGAGAGAGATCTAGTCGTGTTCTGTTTGACTCCTGTATACATTGAAGATTGACAGCATTGAGATTCTCATAGTGTGATTAACACCCGTAATTTCGACGTTTTCATCACAATTAGGCAGGTCTGTGATTGCCGTGGCATTGATATGATTTCTGACTAGAATTGAAGTTCTCGTTGTACTGCTGCTCTCAGATTGCTCAATGACAATCCAAGGTTACACACTTAACTTCTTTAAAGGCAGATTCTTTGGCTAACTTATCAGCTCTATCATGCATTCGGAGGCCAACATGAGATGGAGACCACATGAAATGGACTATGTTACCATTTTTAATAATTTTGCTGTGTTTGTGTCTAGCTTCGGACACTTCAACAAGATCTTGTAGATCCCAAGCAAAGTGAAATCGACACCAGTAATTCCATCTATCATCATACTATCATGCAAGAGGAGCCACACATCTATGGTTCACCCAATAAAATCAGCAGAACCTTCTCTAGATGTTACTACTGCTCGGCTTAGACTCGGTTACAAGTATCTCTGGGAATTCTCATTATCTGCCGATGTAGACCTGACCAAATGTAAACTGTGCCAAAAAAATTATTCGCACACTCTCCGTCACTATGTGATGGAGTGGGACAAACACTGCTCTGTCGCCAGAGGGTGCAGACGTCTGGCTTGAGCTGCCAGTCGTCGTTTGCCGTTGCTGAGTGGTGGTTCGTTGTTGGAGGTGTGGAGCACCCGCTAGCCGAGGCTCCGACTGGCGGTATGGAGGTGGCCGGTGGTAGCCGTATTTGACAGGTGGATACTGTACGGCTGGATTTTTCTGCTGCAGTGGACTGGCCCATTGTGGATATTGCTCTCCTGGACGTGCTCCGTGTCGACGTCTCCGATCTCCTGGGACTACAGAAGATCTCGCCTACCAGTGTGGCGGTGTCGTTTGCCACATCGCTTGTTTACCAGGAGTTTCTGGCACGCTCGCTTCCTCTTCCTGCTTCGATTGTGACTGGAGATCTCGGATCCCTGGGGGCCCTTGACTTTTGTGAGTGTTCACGATGTGCCGGTGACCTTCCCCGAGGCAGAGCTCATGTCGTTGTTTACGCGGTTTGGTGCGGTGGTGAAGCACCGGTTCACCACTTTGAGTGCAGGCCAGCTGAAGGGGGTCCATCTGGGTGCTCGTACGCTCGTCATGCGGGTCACGAACACTATTTCTTCCAGGGTTTCGTTTTGTAGGCTCTCTCTGTGGATCATTTATCAGGGTCAAACACGCACCTGTTTCCGGTGTGTTGCTGAGGGCCATGTGGCGGCCGGATGCAACGCTCCTCGTGCTGAGGCTCCTTCAGTATTCCTGGAGGGTGACTTTTCCCGCTTGTCTGTGCGTGTGGATTCCCTGGCGGATCCTCACTCTGTGAAGGTGCCTGGTGTGGTTCCTGCGGCGGTTCCGGCTGTCGCTCCGTCTGGCCCTGATCTATTGGCCCTACTGGTAATCTCTGCGGACCTAGGGGCCCCTGATTCGCATCTTCGACGTTCGGTGGATGCAGAGGTGCATCCAAATCCTCTTGCTTTCGTGGTGGCATTGGATGGTGCTGTAGGGGTGGTGCCTGCATCTCCTGCTGAAGGACGTGTGCTTCCTGGGGCTATCGGGGTGGGGGGTCTGTGTGGCTCCGCCCACGCCCTCTGCCGCGTCACCTCTGGTAGTTTCCTCGTTAACACGTGCCTCATTTCCTCTGTTGGATCCGTCGCCCTCGCTGGATCCTTCACATGTGCTGGTGTCTACCCATCCGCCTGCTGTGTCTCTTCCTTCTCTGGATCTGGTCTACATGGTTGGTGGTGGCTTTCTGCCCCGCGTCGTTGAGGCTGCCGTTCTGCATAATCGTGCTGCCCTGGCTTTGGGGCCGCCTGCCGACGGGTCTTCTTGGGCACCGCTTGCAAAGGGTGACAGTTCCGACGATCAAGGGCCTGTTTCTAAGCACCTTCGTTCGGCTTGGGATGCGTCACCTCGCCGGACCAGGGCTGAAGAGCGTGACGCTATGGATGATGATGCTGCTGTGGGCGACGTTGTGCTGCCTCCTGTGGAGCTTTCTGTGTTGGACATTGTGCCCCCTGCTGGTGGCTCTCCTCAGTGGGCGGTTGCCCCTGGTGACCGCGACCTCATAGTGGTCTTGTCGAAGGATGTGCGACGGGGGGACTCTGCTCCTGTTCCGATTGGCAGGGGGCCCTGGGGCGCCTGCGGATCCACTCTCCGCGGGACTTGTTGCGACTCCCGGCGTAGAACAAAGCACGCGCCTTAGTGGGCGGCCCGATATGCGGCCTGATGGGCAGCCTGGTGTGCGGCCCTGTGACCGGCCACCCAGGGGGGAAACCCTTCCCTTTCGGCCTCCCGTTCGGAGAGGTGTTCGACAGCTCTACATCTAATGAGTTTTGAGTGTGATGACCTGGTGCGTTCTGTTCTCTGGTCCCCTTCTACCATCTGGTTTCCATGGGCGCAGTGTTTCATTATTGGTGTGCCGGATTTGTTGCCTCGACCTACTGCGTCTCCTGGACGTCTGGTTACTGAAGACGACCTAGCTGTTTGCGATGCTTACTGCTTACGATTTCCGGCTCGGGAGTACCCGGAGAAGTATGAGTGGTTCGTGTGGTTCGTTTCTGTCTATGTTGTGTGTTGTTTCCCCAGGGCCTGCATGCTCAGGTGGGTGTCCTTGTCTGTGCGTGTGTGTGGTGTGGGTGTTTGTTCCTGGCTCCTGCGTGGGCCTGCTTTGATGTGTTTGCGATTTGTTTTGTGCTTTGCCTTTGTTCTGTATATGTGTTTATGTTGTGGTTGTGTGCGGTTGTGGGTGCCTGCCCGGCACCACTGGCACTTAGGATATGTGCCCATAGGACCCCTAAGAGGCATTGATTCCCTCTGTCCTACCCTTCCTGAGGAGCCTAGACTTGCTCCACCTACCCTACCAGCCCTTCCTCTCCCTACGACGACAGTTCCAGGTGAATTACTGTACTATTGTTGTAACACGTGGGTCACCTCTACATTGGCGCAGTGAGTAGGATTCGCACATATCGCATTGCACCATGTTGTTGTTGGGAAGGGAAGTTGGACCCGTCCCAACAGGGCCCCGGGCCCTTAGGTCAGGGGGCAGGAAGTCGTTCATCGTCCTCGTCCAGCGAAACGGGAACCCGCCACTCCTCTAGGGGTGCCACCAGCAGCAGCCAACGTGGACGTCGACCTCAGTCACCAGCTTACTCCAGGGCTAGTGGCCAGCAAGGTACTCGGCAGGGGAGCCCCTCCCACCATCGATCGGCTCGATCAAGGAGACGGACAGCTCGACACTCGTCACACAGCTCTCTGACTTCCGATTCGGATGCCTCTCTATCCCGCAGCAGGCGGACAGGTTATCGCCAACAGAAAGAGACCTTCCGCACACCACCTCGGGCGTTGGACTATGATGGGAAGTCAGATTGGGCCACCTTCTACCGCCGCTTCACGTCTTATGCCTCGGAAAAGGACTGGAGTGGGCCTACGTCATTGACACAGTTAGGATGGTGCCTCAAGGGTAAGGCAAGTGATTTTTACAATCGCTTACTGGACAGAGAACCGTCGATCGATTATATTCGCATGATGCATAAGATGATCAAGCGATTTGGCGATAGGGAAGTTCTGGATGTAGCTATGATGAAGTTTAACCAGGCCCAGCAGGAACCAGAAGAAGATATTGCTGATTGGGCAGATAGGGCCCACCACTTGGCTCATCGGGCCTACAAACATGTGCCACGATGGGAAGTGGAACAAATCGCAGTAATGAGATTCGGCCAGGGATTACAGGACAAGACTCTGGCAGAATACATTGCCAATGCAAGAAATTCGTCAATGGAAGAGGCCATCGACCGGGCCCAAACCTTCCAGCACAATGCCGTAGCAATCCACGGCTCCGCAAGTTCAAGCAGGCACGACTCCCACCGCCGCGGGTCCCAGGGGCCAGCAGTAAGAGTGAATGCAGTGGGCAGGTACTCCCGGTATGAGCAACCACCCAGGAGTAAGGACGCTTCTCGGCGCTCGACACCAGGTGCCTCGCCGGCTACCAGTCCCGCAGGCCGTGGAACCGGTACTCACCACCCGTCGAGTGCAGGCTCGGGTCCTTCATCTTCCATGGACACGGAGGCGAAATTGGACGTCTTGGTAGCAGGTGTCTCAGAACTCAGCGGGAAATTGGATCAGGTGTGTGAGAGTTTGAGGCGTCTCACAATGGCCATCATATCGCCGAATATTCGTCGTTCCCCATCTCCCAGGCGATCGCTGCAGTGTTTCAGATGTAGGAAAGAGGGTCACGTGGCTCGGGAATGTCTGGAACCGGGAAGTGATGGGGAGGGAAGCCGCCGGCTCAGGGACCCCCTGGGCAACAAGCTGCGCGTTTCATTTGAGGACGAGAAAGAGTCTTTAAACACGGATGGGTCGGTCCAGTCGGCCTAACTCCGACCCAATGTACAACAGGCCTAGAAAGGGAGAGCACGATAGGGGCGGGCCAAGGGACGTCGGGCACGGAAGAGCAGGACGGGGGAAGAGATCACATAACCATCAGACAGCTCAGATCCGGCTCTATGTTCTGGATCCCAGTCCAGATCGGGGACGTGGAGGTCAAGGCGATTGTGGATACAGCGGCCGAGGTCACCATTATCTCCCAGGAGATCCATCAACGGTTGAACCCACCACCCCAGGTGATACAACACATAACTTTAAGCACGGCGGGGAAACAAATGCACCTTACGGGAACACTGGTGGGCCCCATCTCCTTGCTGGTTGCGGGACGGGAATACACTGTGGGAGTGTATGTGGCGCCTATTGCAGACGACATGTTGCTAGGGCTCGATTTCATGAAAAGACACGGTGTTAGTATAGCCCTAGACAAGTCTCAAATGATATTACAGGGACAGGTGATTCCTATGAAGCTAGAGACGAAAGAGGAGCCTGACCCTAACCTAGCTCCGTGCATCGCTAAGGTAGCAGTGTCCCAATACACTGTTATCCCACCACATTCAGTGGCCAGGGTCAAATGTGAAATGGACAAAAGTATGCCCCAGTGTATAGTGGAGCCCCTGGAGGATGGGCGGGTGCCAGTGGTTCGCACACTCCATCAGGAGGGAGAATTCCTGAAGGTATGTGTACTCAACGCAACAGGGCAGAATATCACATTAAAGAGGCGGATGCATGTGGCCAATGCAGAGGCAGTATGGGAAATTTTACCGGGGCCGGGCCCAGCGGTAGCAGCAAGGGCAGCGGGGAGGGTACGAAGTGAAACTCAAGTCAAATTACCTCCCCATATGATGACCATGGTACGGGACGTCGAGGAAACGCTGTCAGCAGAACAGAGAAGGTATTGCACCACGAGGAAAGAGCTATTGGCAGTAGTCAGGTTTACCAGGCTGTTCCGGCACTATCTCTTGGGGCGGCCTTTTACCATACGCACGGACCATGGCAGCCTGGTCTGGCTGGTTAGGTTTAAGAACCCCCAGGGCCAACTAGCACGTTGGCTGGAGGAGCTGAGCCAATTTGATCTAAAAATCCAGCATAGAGCAGGTAAAAAACACAACAATGCAGACTCTTTATCCAGGGAGGGAGGCACTCAACAGGCATGTACCCACTTTCGCCAGGACGTGCCAGTGCAGGACCTGCCGTGTGGAGGATGCTCATACTGTCGCAGGGCACATCAGAACTGGGCGACCTTCCAGGAGACGGTAGATGACGTCGTCCCACTGGCTACGGGGTCGTTCAGATGTGCATGTAACGTTCAGATCCGGGGGACGATTAGACGCGTGAGCACTATAGCCCCTATTCAAGACTGGTGGTCGGAGGATTCCAACTTGGCTGTCTTCCCATGGGACCCTGGCGAAGATGGCCGAAGAAAGCCTGCCGAGACGCTTTATAAGGAAAAAGACGCAGTGGCCCCAGAAGTAGTAGACATTAGGATCATCACCAGAACAACGGCGGACAGGCTAGGGTTGCATTTACTCGAGTTACAGGAGCGGACGGAGAGAGACCCGGACATGAGAATGGTAAGAGAATGGGTGGGAGGCCGTCAGCCAACAGAAGGGGACCTGTTCGGGGCCAGCCCTGCAACAAAATACTACTGGTTAAACAAAGAAGCACTCCTCATGGAAAATGGGCTTTGGTGGTGGCACAAAGTAGATCAGGGGGGAGCCGCCCAGAAGCTCTTGTATGTACCCAGCAGCCTGAGGCAGGAGGTACTGAATCTGTGCCATGATATACCTGATATGGGCCACCAGGGCCGGAATCGCACAATGGAGCGGGTCAAAGCAAGGTACTTCTGGTACGGACTATCAACGGACGTCGCAAATTACGTGGCATCATGCCACCACTGTAGTATGAACAAAAAGCATCCAAGACCAGCAGGCATGAGCTGCTTAAGTACCAGGCGGGTGCACCAATGGAAAGGGTACACTTGGACATTCTGGGACCATTGCCTAAGACTCCGAAAGGCAACGAATATCTCCTGGTAATGGTAGATCAGTTCACTAAATGGATTGAGTGTGTGCCACTACCGTCCCAGACGGCAGAGAACACCGCCCGAGCAGCACTCGATGGGTTCTTCACCAGGTTCGGGTATCCGTTTGAAATCTTCACCGATCAGGGCAGGAATTTTGAAAGTGACTTGTTTACGAAGCTCTGCGAATTGATGCACATCCACAAGGCCCGTACTACCGCCTACAGGCCGTCGGCGAATGGGCAGGTGGAAAGGTATAACAGAACCATCATGGATGCATTGCGGTGTTATGCCAGTTCCCAACATGACAGCTGGGACACCTATATCCAACACATAGCAGGGGCCATCAGGTCTAGTGTGAACCGACAGACGGGGTTCACGCCCAACAAGTTAATGCTCGGTTGGGAAACCAACCAGCCAATAGATTTAATGTACCCCCGGGAGGTGCAACTTCAATCAGATGCAGTACCTTACCTAGCAAATTTGCAGAAGGAAATTGAGAAGGCGCATGGACTGGCACGGAAGTCTCTATCCACGAACCAGGAACGAATGAAGAGAGATTATGACCTACGGGCACGGCTACAGGTCTATGAGAAAGGGGACCTGGTTTACCTGCTAGACACGGCACAGGTGAAGGGGCAGTGCCGGAAGCTATCACCGCAGTGGAAGGGCCCAGGCGTCATCATCCACAAGTTCTCATCTTGTTTATTTAGGGTCAAGCTCCAGAATGACAACATCACAGCAAATCATGATAAACTAAAGAAGTGCAAGGACCGTACATGCCCGGGCTGGATTGAGAAGTTTAAACATCATATGTCACAGGTTCAGGACCCAGTGGGAGGGCCTATAAGGACCTTTACTGTGTGTGTCGGCAACCATACGATGGAAAGTTTATGGTGCAATGCGATATGTGCGCGGAATGGTTCCATGGGGTCTGCGTGGGAGTGACTCTGGCGAGTGTACGATCAAAACCAGAGTATGCATGTCCTCGGTGTGAGCCATAAGAGCAGGAAAAGAAAAAAAAAAAAAGAAAAAAAAAAAAGAAAAAAGGAAAAGGAATAGTGTAGTGTATGCAATGTTGAAACAGTTCGTGTATAGTGCAAAGACAATACGGGTAATAATTGTAATAGGACCCATTCATGAAAATAGACTTTTTTACAAAAAAGACATGTTGTATATAGCGAAACGTTTTCCCTCCAACATACCCGTTGTTCTATAGGGACGGGAGGAGTGTAGAGGGAACCACATTCAAAGTGCCCGCCAAGGAGACATTTTACAGTATAGGCAGGGCTGTGCCCTGATTGGTGGACGACGACGGCGCACGGCCTACCCGCGCGGCAGCCCGCGCAGGCCGAGTGGGCCAGATTTGAACTGCATGTGACCCAACGCGGACGACGCCTGCCCGGCACCACTGGCACTTAGGATATGTGCCCATAGGACCCCTAAGAGGCATTGATTCCCTCTGTCCTACCCTTCCTGAGGGTGACTTCTCCACCTTACCAGCCCTCCTTCCTGTTCATTACTGCTATTGTTGTAACACGCACCCTACGTGTTCTTTCTTTCCTGTCATTGCGCGCGCCCCGTGTGTTGGGCGTGTTGGTGTGGGGTGGTGTGGTTGTGGGTTGTATGTGTAGCTGTTCTGTGTGTTTGTCGTGTGGGTTATGTGTGTGTGTGTTTATTTCTTTGTCCTTGTAATTGCTATATTCTTTGTACATGTTTTATGCTCTTTATGTTTTTATGTGTATTTTTTGGATTTACTGTTCATTTGTTGTTGGTGTCCTCATTTGTGTCCGGTTCTGCTCCTCTGTGTGCGGGGTCGGACTGCCCGAGCTTGTCTTCTATTTTCCTCCCCTCTTCTGTTCTAGGGATGGCTGGCTTTCTGTAAACTTGTTGTAACTTTTGTGTGTTTTTCTTGTACATTTTTGTTATTGTAATTATGTCATTTATTTGTTGTGCATTCTCATGTGCAGAGTATGCATTCTCTGTCCCATGCTGTTTGTGGGTTTGTCTTTGCTTGTGTCCTGTGTGCTTTCCTGTGACCTCTTGTATGTATTTTATGTTTGTTTCATGGTGTTTGCTTTGTTGTTTCATGTATAAGCACGATTGTTTGTATTCATATGTTGTTTTGCACATGTTCCCTGTTTTTGTACTTTGTTTTTCTTATATATCTATAAAAAAAATGTGATGGAGTGCAGAAAGATATGTGAATTCAGAGACAATTCTATAACCAATGTTCCAACGATGTGTAAATATTTCCTTCAAAATCATCTGCTACCAGAAATTTTAGCCAAATTTCCCCAGTTTGCTAACTGTAGGTAGTAACTGAGTGACTGTAACCTATCCACCGCCGCCCACTGGATGGGAAGGGGGGCGGTGTGCAGGACAAATATATCAATTGTGACACTAGCTCTCCACATATGTCAGTTGTTTAATTTAGAAACTGTACTTGTGGTCGATCTCGAACCCATTGTTGATGTGACGACCTATACGGAATTTTGTAACTAGTTCACCGAGATTATAACTTGCTTAGCTAAATGAATTGTGGGGTTCAGTCCCTGAGCCCATTAAGTGCCTCTATAACCCTTTCCACTACCGCCCACATGATGGGTATAGGGTGCATAATAAATGGAATTAAACTGAATTGAACTGACTAGAATTGAAATGCCTCTGGTGCCACTGTGTGCAATTGGGCAGTGGAAACCTTGAAATCCTGGGACATTGATATATCTTTCAGTCTATGTGAGTGTTTCTTGAAGTAAAACAATATCAATGTTGTCCTTGAGAAGCACTGCTCTGAGTGTTTGTTCTTTGGGCTTAATCCTTGAATGTTCCATTGTATAATCTTGAGATTGTCCATTATTCTGTTAGAGTTGAATCCATTGAGTCCATGGTAGTAGTTTCTAAAGTGCTGATTTCCCCGACGGCTTGTGTTTTCTTAGTTGGAGTAGATACTGCCATTGGGTGCTGAAACATTTCAGTTTCGTCACCTTCTTCGACTTCTACTTCGTCAACCTTTTCAGGTAGGGCTTGTAGAAGTGTGGAAGAAATAAGTTCAGTAGATTGTTTTTTGAACTTTGTTATCATTTCCTTTCTTGACTGTAGATTGGCCTGTTCCAGTGCTTGGAATGATTTGTCAAGCATCTTGCTGAAGGTCTATGGTAAGGAGGCAATAACCATTGGAACAGTAGTCACTTGATACGCCTTTGGTTGCCTTTCAACTGTTGTGGTAGGTGAGGAGACTCTTGGTTGGGTCCTAGCGTCTTTGCTACATCCAGCTACTGGGACATTTGATGATGTAGGGATCATCATCCATGCTTGGGAGGTCTTGGAGGCAATAGCAGGTATATTCCTTTTGCTGCCCTGACCTATTCGATTGTTGTTGCCTTGTGGAGTAGTGTTTTGTTTTCTCCAGTTATTGGAGGCCCCGGTTTTTGCTCAGAGTAGAAGGAATTGATGCTTTAGTCTTTTACTTATTTGTATCTTCATTTATTTGAACTTGCCGAGGAGTGTACCACTGGCTTTTAATCGAGGGTCTGGTCGATTGTGGTCTAGAAGTTTGGGTTTTGGGTTGCTGGGTAGATCCGAAAGCTTGTATTCTTTTTACCCTTTGTGGACATCATTTGTTCCAGGCGTGATGTGTATCCCCGCAGTTTGGACATTTTGCTTTCGTTGGTTTGCCTTCTTTATGCAGATTTTTGCATATGTCGGTGTTGTGGAGGCCGCTGCATACTCCACATCGTTCCGGGCCTCTGCAGCCATCTTTATGGAGGCCGAAGCGCTGACATCTGTAACAGCGCAAGGGTTCTTGATTATACAGCCTTAGACTGTATTGTCCATAGATCTCAATATTCAGAGTGTTGATGCGAGGTTCTTTTATTGTTACAAGGACCTGTCTTGTTTCTACATTATTGTGCTTACACCTTTCTGCCGTTGTGACATTTGGGCATTCTAAGAGTCTGTTTGCATGAACTTCAACCGGGAAATGTTGCACTATCATCTTCGTGACTTTTTCCTCTGGTTTCAGTTCAACAAGGTCTACTGTATTTCTGAGGTTTGTGATTATATCTGGATTAGCTGTGGATATATTATGTCTGCCTCTAATGTCAGGTTTGGCTCTAAGATCTGATCCTGGATGATCTTTTATCAGTGCGGCAATGTAAGCATAAGTGGGACCATCTACTGGTTTTTTGGTTTTGAAGATGGTCCTTGGCATTGGTTTGGGGGGCTGCTCTTGGGTTATGGTTGGCTTCTAGATTGGTTTCTTCGGGCGATTCTTCGGTTCTTCTTCGTTTATTTGCTTTTCCGTTTCCAACAATTTGCCTCGATGGCTCACTGTGAGGAGTAGGATTATCCTGTGATTCATTATTCCTTTCATCTTCAGCAATTTTTCTTGCTCTTGCTACGAGATCACTGTGTCCTTCTGACGTTAATAATTTCAGAAGGATGGTCAGAAGTCATTTCCTGGGGGACATGGTCACACTGCACTAAATAAGTTGCTGAGGAAGTGATGTGCGTGTGCGTGTCCTGTGGAGATCAAATGATTACTGTGTGAGAAAGCGATAGATAGATAGATAAAGATTAAGCCACCCAAGAGGTGGCACGGGCATGAATAGCCCGTAAGTGGTACAATTTTTTTTTTCTCAGTATTCTGAGGTTGCATTTAACCATCAAGCTGTTATCGCGGGGGAGGATACTGCTTCACAGTCTTTATGAGGGTGTCCAGCTGCTGGACACCTTTGTTGACCAGGAGAGTGGCTGTGTTGATGGCTTCAGGGTGGCCACTGCATGATTCAGGAACTCTTAAAGCTCTTCTAAGGTCATTGGTTGCTTCACATTCCAGAAGATAGTGAAGTAATGGCTTTTCTGTCACAGTTTGGCAGAAGATGCACTCTCTGTGTCGGGGTTCACCAATCTCCCAGTTGCATCTGTAACCTAGACGTAGTCTATATAACCTAACTGCTATTTCCCTGTGGATTCCTTTTGGGATATTTAACCTTTCTAATTTGGTTGCCTGAAGATACCATGTTGCAGATGGCGAACCTTCAGCTATTCTCTGGTGTAGGTAGGCTTTGTTGAGATGTGAGAGTTTTTTGGTGATGTTTTTTATGTTCTCTAGGCTGGGTTGAATTGTTTTATGTATCACTGGATGACGAGTTGCCAATTTAGCAATTTCATCAGCTTTTTCATTTAATGGGATTCCAATATGAGATGGGATCCAGTTTAAAGTTATGTTGATTGCTTTGCCTTTAGCGACTGCTCCAAGATACAAAATGGTGGTAATTATTTCCACATTATCTTTCCACTGTTTTTGTCCTAGTATTTGAAGTGCAGCTTTTGAGTCTGTGTGTATGATTGCATTTTGAGTGTTTTGTGCAATCACATATGCGAATGCCTGTTGTATGGCAAACAGCTCAGTTTGGGTTGATGATACTAGTCCTCCCAGTCTCCAATATGCCTGTACGCTGGCCGTGCAAAGAGCAGCGCCAGCACTCTCATATTCTGTGTCCACCGATCCGTCTGTGAAGATGTGGGTGGCTCCTGCTACTGCTATGCTATACATTTGCTCTTCTATTATGCGCCTTAGGATTGTCGGATCATAGGCAGCCTTTTTCATTGGGAGACTTTCTATTACTATTTTGAAAGTAGGCTCTTCCCACGGCGCGGAAGGAGTGTAATTTGGGTGTGGATGATCACCCTCTCTATCAAGAATCATGTTTTTTAAATGTAGTCTGTTTAGGACTTTTCCTGCTCTTGCAACCCAAGAGTTTCCATTGTTTTGGCCTAGTTCAACCACCAAGGCCTGCCGTACTGGGATTGGATCAGAAGAAATAATTATCTTACTAATAATTGTAGCTGTCCTTTGTGATATTCTTTCTTGTAGAGAGGGCAAACCCGTCTCCAGTCTAAGAGTTTCAAGCCTGGTCCACATGGGGGCTCCCAGTGCAGCT